TTCTCAGGAAAGAAAATCATTAAGTGACAAGTGAACAAGTCTGTCCTTGTCAGTGTGTTCCTCAGGCTCAACTGGGGAAACAGGTGTGGAAAAGGTTTAAATTAAGTGGTTCTCAAAATGTAAATTGTTATGATTCTGGTGGTTTTGTTTTCCTTTCAGAGTTTTGCTCATTTTTGTTCCACGGTCCAATTGTACATTATTCCAGGAATCAGTGGTCTGGTGCAAAGCTCATCAGTGCATTGATTTTCTTGGTTGTAAAAACTGCAATTTCATCACAACACCCTGAGCACCTTGGAGGACTTCCTGTGGGTCCTGGGATCTTTGCTGCTTGTATCTGGCTGCTCCTCTGTGATGAAGCTGGATTTCATCAGGCTGGATGAGGCTTTGAGCAACCTGATCTAGTGGAAGGTGTCCCTGCTTATGGCAGGGAGTTGGAACTAGGTGGTCTTTAAAGTCCCTTCCAACCCAAACCATTCTATGACTCTATGATTTGGCAGCCACCACAGGTTTCAGCCCATCAGTACTCAGCTGCTGCATGTGCCAAGTCACCCTGTGCTGGAGGTGACATGTCATTTCATTGCCTTTGTATGATCATCCCAAACCCTGGGAAAGGTCATACCAGGGCTTTGCCAGAGCAATATCTAACTTTTGTTTTGCTTGCTGTGAGCTTTGTCCTTCTGACACCAGCTGTTATAAACCCTGCACTTTGTACCAAGGGCATGTCAGACCCATCCCAAGTCCCTTTTTAGTGTGTGTTTGCAGAGGTTAGCGACTCTAGGTGTGGCTCACAAGCTCCACTGAATTTGGCTCCTATTAAGACAATTCATAACTGCATTCCTGTGTCCAACAAATATTCTATTGCGTCTTAGCTAGGAACCTGGAGCTGATGGAAGGGGAACAAGTGTGGCTTATGGGTCCTCTTGGCTACAGCAGTGTTTCTTGTTTGTAGGCATTTCCATCACCATCAGGAAAGGTAGGGGTGAGTTCTCTGTGTTGTTCCAGAGGTGAACACACCTTAAGCAACAAAATATCCAGGCTGTTAATTGTGGTTTAACTCCCTTAAGAAGCAATGTGCTTAAGGCAGAGAAGATGAATCTTCCTGGATAAGGATCGTTTGGAGATCCTTATCCTTGCAATGCTGGGCACTTCTGCTCAGACCTGACACAACTGGAGCCAAATCCTGCTCATTCTTGTGTTAGTGGCAGACATAGAGAACAGCTCAGATCTTTTTCACCTGAGGGAAATTACTGTTCCTGTTGTAGAAAATACCAAGTGTGTTACATCAATTACCTTTCCCTATTAAGAGACTAATGCCAAAAGGCTCATATGGTGTAAATTAGGCAAGATTTACCAGAGTCAGTGGAGTTTGTGGGTGGTTTTTTAATTTTGTTTTTGTTTTTAGAAGTGTGGTTTAGTGTCTTATTTATGGTTGCTAGGCAAGACTTTTCAAATGGTAGTTACACTACCAAATTAGGAGGAATAGAGGCAATATTGGTGGAAAATGCAGAACCTTTCTGTAATTGGATAGAGGAATCCTGATTTCTTTTCCTTTTTTTATTTTTCTGGGTTTTTTGTTTTGTTTTGTTCCCCCCCCACCTCCCCCAAGCAGAGCTGAAGTTTAACACAGAAAGACGGGAGGGACCCCTTCATTGTCATTGCTCTTTTACCAGATGCCTTGTTTTATTGATAACACCCAAGATTATAAAAAAAAAAACCTAATCCAAGTGACCCGAAGTGACTCGAGCCTCATGCTGGTGCTTGTTTTCAGGCTCCTTACAAACCCCCTGAGTCTGGTTTTGCTGTGAGATGCTGTGACTGTTCCTCTGATTTGACTTGGCCATGGTGAGAAATAGTTAAGGAGCTTATAGTTTCTTGGGATTTGCATTTGAGTTTCCTTAGGGTAGACGATTTCCTGATACGGGGAGGATGTGACTCACCTCCTAGAGAGAACTGAAGCCCTCAGAGTGTTGAGCCCTGGGGACCCTGGAGAGGAGGGACAGGCTCTTGGGCTGGGAGTCTGCAGGTAAGTGAGACATTTCAAAGTGATTCGTTGCTCTTGCTGTGTTAAATTGCGCTGCTGGAGAATACATAGTTGTGTTGAGGAGTACTTCCTGGCTCACTTAGAATTTCATGAGCCCATCCAGGATTGCTCGTTTGTCTCATCTAGGAACCAAGACAGAGCTTTGCTGCATATTTAATTAGATGAGGGGAAGGCAAAGAATTTTAAGATAAGATTATCTTCTTCTCCTCATCACAGCCCTCATGTAAAAAGTTTGCATGGCATGCAAAACAGAGGCTGATGGTAAGCTATTTGGTTTTGAGGACACTGCACATGAAAACAGCTTTACAGAGTAATACTTTTTTTGGTTGAATTTTTTTGTGTATATGACTAAATAAAATGTATTGTGCAATCTTATGAAAATTAACCAAGAGATGTAAAGAGATGTGTGGGAACCTGGGGCTTCTGGAGGAATATGCTCTTTAATTCCTGTGTCTGTTGAAAGCAGAAAAAGAACAGGTGAAGAGAACCCAAGTCTAAGGTTCTCATTGCTGCACTAGGCTAACAATCAGAATTAAGGTACCAGGAATGACAGGATAAAGTCATCCAGAAATCAAAGAGCAATGGATTTTTACAAAGAGCAATGGATTTTATATTGTGGCCTCTCAGTTCCAGTTCTGTAAAGGTTTTTGTGTACATTTAGGGAGGGGAGGATGACTGGCTGCCATTCCTTGCTGTGGAGTCAACTGCAAGAGCAGAGTCTGAGGTGGCAGAAGGGTTGTGAAGATGATGCAGGACCAGGATGGAGTACTGTGAAGTTTTGTGTTTAGTTTTCCATCTTTAGTGTTAGCACCGGTGTGCAGCAAGTGTTACAACTACATATCCCTGTCACACAGAAAACAAATGTCAAGAGTCTGCACCCACACCACAGCTGCGCACCATCCTCTGCTTCCTTGTAACTCAAAAACCTTCTGATCTGTGCTCTCCCCTTGCAGTGAGGCTCAGAGGAATCCTGAGGGACATCTGCACAGCTAGTCAGTGTGTGAGTTGTTGTCTGTGCTGTCCAGGGCTTGCTGAGGAGCTGGGGTCCTGCTCTCCTCCTGGCAGTAGGATGTGGGAGGAGGAGAAGATGGTGCTTTAAGCCTCATTTTGCTAATTCTGCATCTCTGAACAAGTTGTTACTGCTCTACAATAAACTCCCTGTCTGTGAGCTTAATGGTTATGAAATAAGGGTTGTGCTCAGCTAATGAGTCACTGACGGGTATCACGTGATGGCTTGGTGAGGTGAGTGAGTTGAGGGGAGTGAATGGATGAGCCTCATGGAGATGTTTTGTTACTCAGGCAGGGGGAATGTGTGTGTACTGGGCTGAGCACAAAATGTCTCTAAGGAGGACTAAGGACACTAGGCTGCTCAGAAGACTACCTTGGTCCAGAGCATTCTGCATCTCTGTACCATTCAGGAAGGGATTCAAGATGCTCTGGGCCAGAGAGAGATCCACAGTTCACAGAGGAAAGCTTGATTTCCTAATGCGATGGTGTATATAGCTTTTTATTAGTTTTCATTCACTACAGTAAAACTCAGCCCAGCATTAAGCATTCATGGTGCCAGAGAAATGAGTAAAATTCAGGAACAAGTAACTGCCTTTGTGGTTTCATGAGGACCTCTGTGTCTTTGCAGTTCTAAATGCTGGCATAATAAATCCTGAAGTGCTTTTTTGCTCACAGCAGATGTGATTAATACAGCTGTTAGCTGGTGTGTCTTCTTGAGGAAACAATTGGCAACCCCTAGGTGGATAAGCACTGGAGGCCTGAAAACCCTGCCATTTTATCCGCTTTTAAGAAATTAAGAGATAAAATAAAAATGTTCTTTTTTTTTTTTTTTTTTTTTTTTTTCCTCTTCAAATCCATAATCAGACATGACATAAAAACAGTCACTTCTGCAATAAGTATTTTGGAGAGTGTTTGTTAAAGTGAAAACGTTCTAATGCTCTGCACAGCTGGAGCCCCTGTGGGGTTGGGTGGCTCCAACTGCAATGTCCCATCTGCTGCCCTCCAGCCCCTCCTGCCCACCCACCCTGGGGAGTGAGAGATGTCCAGGGGTACAATGCTTCTTTTCCACTCAGCAGTTCTGCAAGGTGAGAAGGGACCCTGTGGACATGCCCAGGGGTGTTAAGCCCTATAAACCTCATGCTACAAATTCACCTTTCTTCCTTCTCATGCCCATCTACCCCGAGGGAAATCCTGAGCAGGACACAAATATCCTCAGTGACTTTGCCAGGTTTCCCTTCTGCTTATTCCAGCATAATCACATCCACTGATTTCTGCTTGTTTGCAGGTCTCATTTGCAGCTGAAAGCTCAAACCAGCATTTATTTTCTGTATGGGTTCCTAATCTGGAAATGGATCTAATTTGCTTTACCAAATTACAAGCAAATTAAGCTAAACACATTGTATTATGTCCGGATGTGTTGTGGAGCTTTCGTGAAAGAGGAAAAATCATGTTTGTCATTGCTGCGAGTTTCTTCTTTCCTCAGTATCAATAACTTTGTGTTTTCAAAAAATATAAAATGTCTCTATAAATGGTAGAGTTTTTCCTTGGGGCAAGGAGCTGGGTAGCTGGGGCTGCATCTGCCTCACATCTTTCATCCTCTCAGCCTTTAAAGAATCTTTGCCAACATCCTGAGCTCTATTCCCTTGCAGTTCCCTCCCCTTGCTCTTGGACACACTTTGATTATCTGCAATATTGCATTTGATAGTATTACTAAATAGTTCTGAAAATTTTCCTTTCGGCAACTACTTCTTCCCTTTCAAATGGCATTTTTTTCCCTAGTTGTAAATCAGCTTTAGAGCCTTGTATATCTAAGGAGAGTAAATACCTCACTGCTCCAAATGAGACAAGTATTTTGCATTTTGATTTCCTGACCCATCAGGGAGGATTTTGTGCAAAACACAGGAGAAATGTCGAAGTGATAAAATAGCACTGGTTTTGGTTCATTCTCTAGTTAGAACAGCTGATGTTATGGAAAACATCCAGTACTATCCAGACTTTGTAGAGTTTGAATTCAAAGAGGGCAAATACTTTGTAGGTACTGCTACATTTCAATGACAATTTTACTGACTGACAAACACTACATCTCCTGAGGTTTTTGACATAATTTCTTAGTTTACTAATTTAAACCTGAAATATATTTCTTTGCCAGGAAAGTTTGCAGTGTGGATGTGAGATGGACTCCTCATCTGCTTTTATAGCCACAAACATTTGTTTTAGTTTCCTTCCACCAGGTCACATTTATTATGAGATAGGGGAAATGCTGTTCTTCTTCAAAAAGTCTAACACAACCGATTTGCAAGACTATTTTTTAACTGAGAACAATTAAGAGCTCTAACAGCTTAACTAGCTGTGATAATTAGCAGTCACTAAGCCTGTCTTTGGGGAAATATAGCACGCTGTTCTATATTAGTCCTACCATAGTAAGGACTGGGAAAATAATGCAAAAACCCATTACTCTCCTGAACAGCTCCTTGGGATGGAGAGGCTGGGGCAGAGGCTGGGCTGGGTGTGAGCGGTGATCCCTGCCCGCTTCGCTCGGGAGGTGTGTCCTTTTGGTAAACACGGGCGATAAATATAATTAGTCATCGTGACGCAAGCAAAAAACTGTTGGCAGCCAGGGTGGAAATGCAAGCTAATCCCTTCGTACAGGAAGAGGTAGTTTTACGTTAATAACTTCTAGAAGCAGCCTCTGGGCTCCTGCCGATCCCCTGTGTGCTCCCAGGCCAGTGGGGAGGTGGGGGGATGCTGGGGGGGATGCTGGGGAGGCTGCTGGGGTGCAGCCCTGGGCTGTGGCAGCGGGTGGCTCGGCCGGTCCTGCACCCCACCAGAGCCATCGGTGACAAAGCGAAGGGCGCTGAGGACGCGGCTTTGCAGACGGCTAATCCAGGTGGGTAGAAAGGGTTTGGTCACTGTTTGGTGCTGCAGCACGGAGGGAAAGGATATTAGCAGGAAAGGGTCAGAAAATGACCCTTGTTCTCGGCGGTTGCTGTTACTGCTGTGCTGCACCTCCTGGGTTTAAAAATGCTCCTGAGACATGAAGCACATTGAGAGCTCTGACTAGCACCATGCACAGGGATAAAGTTGGGTTTTTTTGTGTTAAATAGTTCTCCTCCCATGACAGCAAAAACAAACTGATGATTCATGTCAGGGAACTATTTAATTAAAAAAAAATAAATGAATGTTCCTCCTTGTACCCAGCTGCCAGGTTTCCAGAGGAGGAATGGAGAACATGCCTGCACGTGCAGTGCAGTGGCAGACTTGCACCCCTCTGCTCCCCTCAATGATCCCTGCCAGATTCCATCCACAACTGTGCATGCCCGTGGCAGGCAGCAGGCGTGGTCTGCTCCCTCATGGGCAAGCTTCCTGGCATGGAGATCATTTATCTTTTTAGTCTGTACCCCCACCTCCTTGGCCTTGCCTTTGTAGACTCCTCACTCCCCTGAGGCTGGGCTGCATGGGGCTGCCAGTGCTCCCGTGGGATGACTGTGGGTCTCCAGCATGGGGCTTTGCCCTTGTCTTCCATGGGATGGAGTCTGTCCTTTTAGTGATCCATCCTACTGTTTGCTGCAGATCCGATTCAGACACTTGGTGATGTTTCAGATGTAACTCTCCTGGTCTTGCTGGTGCTCTCTAAGAGAAATAGGAGAAGCAGGAGATTGAATTTTCCTGGGGGTCTGGGTGCCAAGATCTACACCTGGGATTTTTCAGGTATTCACAAGTCCTGGCATGCATGAGCAGGCCTGAGGCCAAGGTGCTTAATGTAATATCACCATCTCAAGACAGGCAGGAAGAGATGCTCCCTCTGCCCTGTGCTGTGGAGGCACCGATTTCCTTTCAGCCAAGCACCAGCAATCCAGAAACAGCCAGGGACTGTGGGACACTGAGACTGGGGGCATCTTCATGTCCATCCCTTCCTGCATCCCCTGGTCACCCACAGGGTGTTTCTGAAGACTAGTCTCACATTCTGAAGCACAGGGCACTGTAACCCAGCACCTTGGGTGCACCTACCTGGGTGCGTGAGCAGTCCCAGCTACCTCGCGATGACCTGTACAAATGTCCAATGTCAAAGCCAGGATCTGAGCTAGCCATTGCTTACTCTATTTTTTCAGGGTCTCTCTGTCACTGTACTTGTCGTGACCTGTCACTGGGTTTGTTTCCATCAAGAGGAGCCAGAGTCCCTTTCTCCTTGTGCTCACGGTGACAGCATGCTAATGGCATCATTGTGGTAGTCTGGTGGGGTGTAATGTATCATCATTAGAGTACAGTAATGTGGTACCCAGCTTGCATGAGAACGACTGCCAGCCTCCCACCAGGCTGTATTTTAACAGACCTTGTCTCTCCATCAGTGCTTTTAGAAGGAGATGCTGTCGAGGAGTTATTAGTGCTCCTAACAGTTTACTTAACTCACTAGTTGGGCCATTTAAAAGCAAGATGCTAGCAGGGTGAGAGCATGCTGTGGGCTTGGGTGACTTCAGCCCTGCATCCTTTCCCCTCTTAATCAGGAAGGTTACAAGAGGTTTTGAGTTTAAAACCTACCTAAACTAAAGGGGGAAAAAAAAAATGAAGCAAAATGAAATAAGCTGCAAATGTAACAAAGCCTCTCACACCAGCTGCTGAGTTCTTTTGACATTAGAAAGTACATTCGGCTCTCACAGAATAGAAAATGCCATTCTGAACTTTCAATCCTTTTCCCTCTGTAATGACAACCTTTTGCCTCTTCCCTTCTTTAAGCTTAGCTCATTGTTTTATTTTATAAAATCTCTTACAGGTTACAAAGCTTTCAAAAAGGACAGAAGGACTACAAATTTTGATAAAAAGGTGTTAGTATGGGCAGGACGCTTTAAAAAGGAGGAGGATATTCCCAAGTACATATCGTAAGTAGACCTGTCTAAATGATGCTTTTGGATGTGAACATACAGATTGAGACCCCAGCCTGTAAAACCCTGAACCATGTTCACATTGTGAGGGTTAGTGCTCCTCTATGCTGAAGGGGACTGATGCTACTGGGGTCCAAAAATAAATCTGAATTTTCGGGAACGTGAACTTTTTGTTATGCCTTGTGAAGTAAAATGGATTCACTTGTTTTAGATATCATAAGTGTCAGACTAAGCTGAAGTCTCTCTTGCAAGACAAGTGTCTTTGTAACTCAAACATCACCATGGCAAAATATCATCCACTTTGGATTTTTGCATGCTTTGCTAGTTTTTATTGATTAGCTACTAATAATGCTGTAGAAATTTTAAAAATAATTCGGGGCTATACACAGCTTTGGTGATAGACATCTGCAATGAGTTCCTCACATCTGGGCTGCAGTTTCACCCCTTTGTCAAGGTATTTTGTTAAAGAATTGTCACTTAGTTTTGGAGATCTAATGTTTCCTGACTTGTGACATCCTGGGCACTCCTCCAGCTGGCCTTCCCCTTGCAGGTGTAAGTAGATCCGTGACTGGATATGATTTTGTGAATGACCCATTGCCACGCTGCAGTCTCTTGCAAGCATGAGTTGTTGGATAAATGCCATGAGTCACTCATGGAAGGTGGTGGAGATTTCCCAGTGACAGCTGTGGCTGTTCAGCTGCTTGGGAAGACAACTCTGGATGGACGGTGATGATGTCCACTCCAGCTCAGGCTCACCCTCCCACCGAGGGAGATGCTGGTGGGGCTGGTGCCAGCTGCCTGGCAGAGGGCTACACTGCAGTGGGACGGGGCTGCAAAGAACCATGTGGAGCTGGAGTGAAGATGTCAGCACTTGCTGTGCCTCTTCACTGTGTGAAAACTCTCTTTGCTCTTAGCCAAAAGTCATGGGGGTGCTTTTATTCCACTGAGGGTGGCATTGTCTGGCCCTGGTGACACAGCCACAATGTCTCCTGGTGCTGTGCAGCACCCCATGCCCTGCCCTGCAATACCCGAAGCTAGGCCGCTCGTAATTCCATCATCACAATGAAAAGACTTTCCTGTCCTTGTAATTTTTCAGGTGTTCACTCTTATATGTAATGAAAAAAAGACAGGAGTGCGATTTGTTATTCCACTTGTTACTGATTACTTTTAGGAGTAGCAATACCCGACCTGTGTGGGAGGGTGGATAAATCTTTTCCCCATAGGCTAATTTTTTGAGTTCTCCTCTAAGCACTTGCAGAAAGAGAAGAATTTCTGAAACATATTGCACATTAATAGGCAGTTGCTGGAAGACTTGAAGATTCATTATCCAGCTCCCTGTGATCTCATTTCACACACTGCTGTAGAATGGAAACTCTACTCTGTCCTCTGCAGGTCTGAGGTCCTCGACGCAGCAAGGAACAATGTCAGGATAAAGGTTTGCTACGTGATGATTGCACTGACCTTGCTGGGCTGTTTGGCCATGGTAATCACAGGCAAAAAGTGAGTATTGTTTCTGGGTGAACCAAACTGATCCACTTAAGGTATGGTCTATGTATGTTCTCTTTGTAAACAGAGTGACAGATTGGTTTGAGAATAAATTCCTATAAGCAATATTAACATAGGATATGTATCACCTCATTCTCCAGAGGAGAGATTGGCATGAGGAAGCACAACTTGCTGGTTAATGTGTTCCTTCTGACCCACTTTGCCATAAACCTATGCAATGCAATGCTCTGTATCATGGTATCTCAACAAAAGGCTGGTCCAAAGGTTGTGGAGTAGCTCAGACAGTGTTAATGGTGCCTGGTCCTGCCCTGCATCTGTGGGCCCTGAGGCTCTCACAGTCCTGCCCACCCAGCCTGAATGCCACCAAGAGCTGTGACACTTGCTTCTTTCCATCTTGCTGGTGGGGAAGGAAGGTCTCCAGCCTGACATGCATGTCCCAGTGCACCTGTAAACAATTTACAGTGTCATTGCCTTGCTAATCAGAGCTGCAAATGCTGATAATTTGGTAAAACAAGGAAACACTTTGACTTCTGTCGCTGCACAATATCAAAAAGGACAGTGGGCTGTCAAAGCAAGTGGTGTAAATTTGGGGGGGTTTGGTGGTGGGAAATGTGTGCACGAAATGATTTTCACCATTTCTTTTCAAGGCTGCTAAAAGGGATCACACACTGCTGAAGATGAACACAGAAAACAAGGCCAAATGGAGGGCTGAAGTGGAGAAAGATGAAGAGGCAGCTGTTGAGAAGCCACAATGATTTGGAACGGATTTATTTTAACAGCAGGAGATAAGTGATTTGTACCAATGACATATGTACCTGTCTTTTTTAACTCTTTGGAACTTTTTCACTGAAACTCTCAGGGCAAAGACTTCACTATTTAAAAACTACTCCATGCAAACTGGGAAACTCCTGTGGAAACTCCGGCAGCTGCTGTTGGCGGCCTCTGGTCTTTGGCACTGGGTTCTGCTGAAATACAAAAATCTCTTCTAAACTGGAAAGCGTGGGAAGGATGGATGCAGGACACTGCAGCTCAGGATCAGCTTTTCATGGTGCTGCTGATGCTCAGCGTGGCTGTGGGGCTGTCTCCTGTGGCCCTACACCAGAGAGCATCTCATTCTGTGCAGTGCCTCTGGTGCAAACAGCAAAGTGACCCAGAGCAGGGGAAAAAGGAGTCTGAAATATGTTTTGCAAACACTAAGAGGTCTTAGTGTTTACCTCTGAGCCTGCTGTCGTCACTGTCCCCTCTCCAGCCTTTTGTGGGGTCCTGTGGCCAGGGGAGAGAGGGGACATGAGTATGAAAAGGAGGAGCAGTATCATCAGACCTTGACAGCTGATTTGGGCCAAAAGGGGTTTTGGGCCAGAGGAGATAGCAGTGATGTGGAGTGGTGGCATGGGCATGTGGAGTGGTTTGGTTGTTGTGGGGCAGCCTGGGGAGCCTGTGCCTGGAACAGGGAGCCTGGCCTGGAGGCCCCTCTCATACTGCTGCACCTCACTGTTTTTTCATCTTCTGTTTCCAGTCATTGTCATGAAAGTTCTCTAGCACTTGCTTAGTTGTGATGTTAGTCAGGAGTAATTGTTATTACATGGTTTGCTAAAACTGGATTCTTTTTAATAATCATAGTTCATTAATTCATAATAAAACAGCTGTCCAATTACATCTAAAACAAACGCATCTCTTCACAGCTTCATTTAAAGTGTCACCAAACTCTCTGGGATGATGTTTAACAGATGGGAGACATCCTAATGAAATATTGGAAGTTTCATTTTCATTAAGTGATTAAACTTCAAGACAACTCATGCTTGTGGGTGCTGGTGCACCATTCATAACCCCTCAAGATCTGTAAGACAGGCTGGTGGAGCGGGGTGCACTGCATGGGGTGCCAAGGGACACGGAGTGGGAAAACCCAGCTGTCTTACCCCGGCTGCCAGAGCAGATGGCAAATGATGTAACCACGCTGTGCAGTGTCCTCAGCATCACACCAAGGCTTGGCCTTTGCAAGGGTTGTTACTCAGACCAGTTGAACTTGTGGTCTAGGGAAGTCTGGAAGCTCCCACTCAGGTCTCTGGGGTTTATTGTGACAAAAATCATGTCCACTTACTGCTGGTGTGTCACTACATGAGCAAGCTGCTGGCAAGGTTGGGGCATTGGCAGGTGGTGAGTAGTTGTTGGGCTCTGGGACTCCATCTCCTGTGCTTGTGGTCACTGGGCGGCTTTTTCCCTCTGATGCTTCTTAGGAGCACTTTTCTCCACATTGCACACCCATTAGGTTGAGGAGCATGTGTGAGGGAGATGTTACATCTGTCACAGCTCAGTGTTTGCAGTCCTCGTTTCCAACTCATAGCACCGTGCAGTACAAATCACCAAAAGCGATGTCTGCTCCCTGTAGTAATCCTCATAAGTAATTCTCACAATCTCATGGAAGTGAAAATAATGGTCCAGGACAAGCACAGAGTCAACAAGTCTCTGCTGAGAAGGCACTTTTGCCTGCACAGGTAATACAGGCTCTTTCATTTTTCATGACCTGGTTTTTCTTGGTTAGTGTGATAAATTTCAAGAATTACATCAAAGTTAGTGTTCATTTGGGGGTAAACTCGAACAGTTCTGGTCGGTCTCAGATTTTTTTTTTTTTGTAATTCTTAAATGGCTTTCATGTGCCCTTTTTAAGAACACTTAAAGGAACCCATTGAAATGCTTGCAAACAAATTCACATCCATGTTCTGAGCTTCCCTGACTTAAGCAGGAAAGGAAATGAACATAACCATATACAAAGAACAAGTAAATTAATTGTGACTTGTTCCACTCTGCTCTGCATTTCCCTCTGCCTGGGGAAAAAAAACCAACCTGCTTCAGGTGTGAGCTATTATCAAATCCTCTTAAACAGTCTGGGTCTCTGTTGACTGGTGCATAAAGCTTCTGCATTACACATTGTCATTAAGAAAATGGAAAAATCAATTCCTCCTCCCTGAGCCACTGATGATGGGCCAATTCTGAGCGACCAGATGACCCAGGTGCTTTTAGGCTGTCACTAAGAGCCATGACTATTGTTTAGTGAATAATCTTTTACCAGTCCCAGCTACATGATTATTCATTTTAATATCATAATATTCCTCAAAAAATCAATCTGACTAATCTCTGGTTTGCACTCGGTCGGTGGTGGGTGACTGCTGGCACTGGTGTAGCACAGCCTCGGTTGGAGCCATCTCCTGCAGTAGCTGGAGATGCCAGCAGAGGACATTGTGCTGCTGATGCCTCCCCAACACTGGGACTTACTGCTGCTTGTTAAAATCGGTTTCCATCTGTGTTTGCAAAGTCCTTTGACTCTCCTTTTGAAAAACTTCTAATTAACACAGCTTCCTGAATGTATAATTGGCTAATTCTCACCACCTTAAGGTTGTGGGGGTTTTTTATTTCTCCTTCTGTCTATAGTGCTTTAGTGTCACACCTGATCCCCCAGTCATTTAAAAAAGGGGTGGAAGGTGTTATTAGGTATTTAATAATGTGCCCTGAATTTCCCCAGCCTGGCCCTGAGGACAATGTGAGGGGCTGGCTCCTCTCCGAGGCAGGGGATGGAGCTGAGAGCGTACTGGTTTGCTGTGATGCTCAGGGAGACCGAGGGTGGGTGAGTCCTTTCAACTCTCCTCACTTACTGCTCTGTACTGGGAGGAAAGAATGCTTCCTCCCTTGCAGGATTTTTGCCATTTTAATGAACTCCTATATGGAAGTGGTTAATCATGTGCTGGTGGCTGGTGTCATAGAGATTTGCATTGTAATAACAATTACGAGTGAAGATTTTCCCTAGTAGCTGGAGTTGAGCTAGTTCTGCTTCTGCAGAACTAATTCTGCAACAATCAGTGTTGCAGTTCCTCCTGGCTGTGCATTAAGGTTATCATTCACCATTTTCTCAAGTCTCAGTGATTTCCAGAGACTCAGCTGCCCCAGGGAGCCTGGCTGCTGTGGGGCAGAGCTGGATGCACTGAACTTTCTTCTGCCAACGTGGTGAGACCAAGCTCATATGGGAGACTCTGCATTGTGAACATCTCAGTGCTTCAGAGAAAAGGTGTGAGATGGGAAAGTCTGAGCTCAGGAGATCTAAATCCCTTCCTTACTCATTTTACCTCTCTTTTTGACCTGCTTATGGGGTTTCTAGTGACACTTGATTTCTTTCCATCCATCTGCTATGTGCAGCTCTTCTGGGATGCAGCAAGGCTGACGTGATCCTGCACTTGTAAAGGACTTTTTTCTCTGGATGCAGATGAATCTTACCATTCAGAAAGATATAATTTTAAATACTTCCCAGTTCTTTTAGTGTTTAGTCTCCCACCAAACTGGGAAACTGCTGCTTATTTTAAGGCTGAACGCACCCAGCTTCAGTTTCCAGGCATTGGACGTAGTCTTCAATGTGGAATATAAACCATCCCATCTCAAATCTTTCCTGTGTACAACTAGTCACTGTTGTTTGCAGTTGGATTCTTGCTATGTTTAAAACACCCATGGTTTCTAACCATTGCTTGGTGGGTATCACTGGCTTACTGGCCAGTTAAGAATTTGATGCTATAGTGAATTTATTTCTGTATCAAGCAATTTACTACATTAGTAGCCTCTTCATAAACAATCCAAATAGATTTTTTGTTTGTTTTAGCATAGAATCAATAATCTAGTACTTTTGCTGAAAGAAAGGATGTAAAAGCTTTCCAGACTTTATTGACTACCCTGGAAAATTAAAAAGCACGGTGGTTATGCAGCAGAAACTTATTCTCCTCTGCCTGTGCCTGAGGCACCAGCACCTGCAGGAGCAGCACAGCCAGCCAGTGGCTGCAAATCTGCTTTTGTTCTAGGACTGTCAAGGGTCAGTTCAAAGGAGCTTCGAGGTGGAAGGTCTCCTCTGGGTGAGATGCAATGATGGTTTGGATCTGTAAAGGGACTGGCTCCCTCTTACCGCAAAGATGTTTCCAGCTTGGAGCAGTCTCATGTTTTCTCCTTTGTTCAGCATCATTGCAGCAAATAAGCACTGGCTGCTGCTGGTCCACAGGTATCTGGGGTCCTCAGGCCCATCATGATTTCAGAGATGGCTTAAACAAAACTCTCCTGTTTGGCTTTGGCACGAAGTCATTTTAGCCTAGCAGGAAAGCAAGGTCAATGTTTAATAATTTAAATTAATTAATGGATCATTCATTGATGCATTGAGGTAATTTTCCGTGGTTAAGTGGTTTGATGATCGTTAGTGCTGTATGATTTATTACAAAAACTCTGTGATAGTCATATGATGAGTAGGTAGCTCCTGAAGGGCTCTGAAAGGACCTGACCATTTCATTTCTTTGCTCTGTGAAGGATCCAGACACAAACCTCAACATTACATTTGTCTAGCTGGCTCCACACTTTTCTGTGCATGAGACAGCTTTCTACATGGAAATCTAAAGCTGGGCTCTGACTCTTCCTCTGCAGCACTGTGTTCCACAGTGAAAGGACCCTAACTCTGAGATATCTGGGCAGGGACTGCTGTTTGGTGGGGATCTGAGGGCTTGCCGTAGGGAGGAGGTCAGTCTGGAACAAGATTTCATGGGAAAGAGCTGGGCTCACTCAGGGCTTATGTTTGCCCTGCAGCATGTGCAGAGTTATCAGAAGCTGCTGGTGACACTAGACCAGAAAATTGAGGGATTTGCATGCTGGTCTGTAATATACTTCTCCCAGATGGTGTATGGTCTTGAGACTTTTTCTAAATGAAATGGAAACCAAAATAGCCCAATGAATTAGTCAT